CTAGGCAGAGCTCAACAAACTCCAAGTAGTCATCTCTGAACAAGAGCTGCTGTAAATGTGAGGGTTCAAAAACACTGTTTCAAAGACTGTCAACAAAATCTCTTGCTGTTTCATTGAAATCACTTCAATGCAAGATTGTGTTCCACAACTGCTGAAGTTGCAAATATTGATGAGTGTAGTGTTGCTGATCTTTTTTTTTAATAAACATTTTGACTTCCAAAAATGCTGCTAGCAACCACTATTAGAGTTGTAAGTTTTTTTTTTTTTTTTTCTTTTTAAATTATTCACCTCTCCAAGGCCCGAGGGGGCCACTACAATCGAAGATTCTACTCATTTTATTTTTTTTTAATTTTTTATTTTTTAATTGTTTTTATTTTTTGTTGTAAATCGTGGTACAACCCTCTCTCAACTCTTTAACTCCGAAACACGAACCTTGACAAGCAAGGCCGCTGAGCGAAGAAATTAAGTTGAGCACAGTACTTCCAGGGATGTGGTGGGAGTCGAACTCTGTTAATAGATGAAAAAAGATAAAGTTTATAAAGCAAGATTAACTGATGACTTAAAAGATTTCAAACTATATGAATCAAGAAAAAAAAATGGAGGGACCGAATTCCAAAGCATTGCTGTTCTAGAAAAAAAACCAGGCGAAAAAGAATTTTTGAAACACTTAAGAACAGTCACAGGAAAAGGATGAAACTTTTTATCAATTGAATAATAAGTAACACAAGAATAAATTTTAGTAGATAGCACGGTCTTTAGAGCAGCGCCCATTGTAGTATTTATAGAAAAGAGAAGCAACATTACGATGATGTGACAATGGTTGAAGGTTGGCTGCAAGATCAAGTCCAACCATGTTTACAATTTGTTTTTGGACCTTGTCTAAAATAGAAGAGTCTTTCAAAGATCCACTCCAGATATGGCAACAGTATTCCATACAAGGATAGATAAGAGATTTTTAGAGATTAAGAAGAGAATCCAGAGTAAGAAAGTGATGAGCATGATAAAGAGTTGTTAGCAGATGCTAATTATGCAATAGATTTCCATAAAATATGGTTTCCATAAAAGATCAGAGTTAAAAACCAATCTTAGAAGACAAAGGGTAGATGACTCATTGAGTACAATACTGTTCATAAATGTAAAAAAATCTAGATTATTGGGCTAACGATTAGCTGAAAAAAATTGAGTATTATCTGAGTTAAAGTAGTTCACCAGCCACTGAAAGCTCCATGCTGTAGCAGAAGTGAGATTTTTTTCAAGCTCAAATGCCACCTCCAAGCAATCAGAAAGTATTGGCTTTTTATCAAGACAAGAATAAATGATTGTATCATCAGCAAATAATGCAACCTTAGTTGTGAGAATTTCTGGGCGATTGTTAATGTAAATTAAAAAAAGTATAGGGCTTAGAATAGCCCCTTGAGAAAACCCTGAAGTTACAGGAAATGAAAAAGAGTGCTGTCTATTGAAGACAACTTTTATACTACAATTTTTAAGGAAGGATTCAATAGTCTTGAAGATGTTACCTGATACACCATAAGAAGAGAGCTTATGAAGAAGACCAGCTTGTCAAACTTTTATGCACGATAAAGCCTATTACATATCAACAAATCAGCAGTAGAACCAGAAGATCTAATCCATATTGATGATCAGAAAGTAAATTATTAGTTAAAGATGAGAGATTAAGTGTTTGTTAATTAAAGACTCAGAAACCTTGCTTAAAATAGTAACAAGACTAATGGGATAACAAATGCTGCATGCTGAAAAACAAGAATCTGACAAGCACTTTTTAAATAGTTTTGAAAGTATAGATTACAGCTCCAGAGGACACTTTTGCATGACATCAGGTAGAACACAACTAGTGGAATCAACAGATGATATTGACAAAAAGTTTTTACCAAACAATTCAGCTTTGTCTTTAGGTGAGGTAAAAAAATCTGAACAACAAAATAGAGTTGGAATAACAGATTTGTCCCTATTATAGACGCTGTTAAAAATTCTCCAGAAGTCTTTGGAGCCTAATTTTTGAGATGAAATATGAGATTTTGTGACCTGAGAATAGCGGGTTTTGGTGTTAGACAAACCTTTTACAAGGGTTTTTAGCAATAGTAAACAGATGTCTGTTTTCTGAAAAATTATTTTGGTGATAGATATGGAAATAATGATTGCAATTGGAAAATGCAGCAGCACAATGAGAGGAAAACCATTAGGAAGAGTGCGGCTTGACTAAGAATTGTCTAGAAAGAATAAAAGATTCCATGCCAGCCTGAATCCAAAAACTTACATAAGAAGCACATATGTCAGCAGGAAGACGAAAGAGGCGAGAGCCATCAAGGAGAAAATTAATGGAAGAACCCAGCTTTCAGCTTTAAGGTAGTTGTAAGAGGTACATTAGGGGGATTCTGATGATGAAGAAGAATGAGTTTCATGGAGATCAAACTGTGATCAGAAGCACCTAAGGATGAATATGAAGAAACTGAACACTGAAAAAGATCAGAAACAAGACATAAGTCATGTAGAGAAATGATTCAAAATATCTTGAATGCAAGTTAGAAAGTTGACTATTTGAGCTAAAACAGTGTTCGGGAAAACTGATTAGCAGCCGACCTCAGAACCATAAAACTTCAGAGCCTCAATAAGAGATAATAGTCTCAAAACTTTGTTTATTCCAGTAATCAAAAACATTTAGTAGCTTACTTAATAATTTTAACTTTTAATATAAATTATGAATAAAAATAAATTTTTTATCATCAAGTTTAACTAGCAATTTTTGCAGTTCAAATTTGATTGTCTAGAATTAATATTGGGAGATCAAAACATAGTTTTTTTTCCAAAAGTAGGCAATCATTGATGGGCTGTTATTTTTAGTGCTGTATATTTACACAATTGCAATTGACTGTACAATTTAATCTTTAATGACTGTATTTTTAATTTTAAAATGACCTGTTTTAACATGCTTGCATTAATAATGTTTTGTCTGCTTGGTAATACTTATTTTAGGCTAATCGGATAAATTAACTTTTAGAAAAGATTTATTTTTCAGCCAACTTATTTTTGAAAACAAAATTGAAAATTAGTACATTTTCATTCCATTTTGGTTAAAATGATATACATCCAATTTATTTTTTTGAAAGTTTTATTATTTGATATTAAGTAAAACCATTTAAAAAATTAAAGACAACAGTCAGCCTAAAATTTCAGGATACGACCAACATTTGGTAAAATATTACTTTCAATCGCCCTTTCTGATGGCCAACCAAAAATTGGTCTGCATCATGTGCTATGTACATACTCATATACAAGCCTTCCCCGGAAGCGTGTGTGATTGCACGCCTTGTTCTTACACATTCCAAAGTAATTTTTTAGACAACTTGTCTACGTTTTTATATAGTAAGGGTTTTAAGAACTTGTTGCAAGAAAAAACTATAAGAGAAAAAAAAAGCAATACTTGAAGAAAGAAAACGAGTAATATATGAAATAGAAAATCTCTATATAAAATAAACTAAAAAAAATTGAAAATTAAAAAAAAAAAAATTTTGTTGAAAAAATAATATATCTAAGTATTTTACTGTTTTTGTTTTTCTTTTTTTTTAAAGTGTACTAAATAAAAAAAAGAAAACAAAAACCGTAAAATATTTACTACCAAATTTGATACAAGTTGAGAAAAAAAGCAGATACAAATATAACAAAAATAAAGACATTTTTTGATATACAATTTATTTGCGATTTTTGTCAGTCAATATATTAAAGAAACACCTTATTATTTGTGCTAGAAATTGCTAGAAACACCTTATTATTTGTGCTAGAAATAGAAACATTTTTGAAATTCGTTTTTCAAATGTTTTTGCTAAACTTTACTGGTTTTATCAATGCTCAGTAAAGCCAGAAAAGTAATTGCTACTCATTTGTAATTTTTTTTTTTTTAAACAAGTTTTTCATGTAAAAAATAAAGTCATTAATACTAATATTCAAATATAAAATATTGATCAAATTGAGCATTTAAACCCGATAGTTTATTTCCTGATGAACTATTGTTATTGGTGATGCTCCAAATGCTTGTGGGCTAGTGCATTGTAATTTACTGAACTTTTTTAGCAAAATTTTTAGGAGGTTTAAAACTTTTTTTAAAGTTTTTAAATACATTTTTTCAAACAGAGCAATTGTTGTGTTCATCATCTCTTGTATTTTGTATTAATGTTGGATAGTGGGCTATAAAAAGGAAACAATTTTAGACAGGCATTAAAAGTGCTAAATACATTTATAAAAAAAAGCCATGTAAATCTTTTATTTAATTTTTTCCGTCATTATATAATTTGTTATTTAAATAATATTTTTTTACAAATAAATAACAAACAAATGAATTTATTTTTTTACTTTCCTATAATATAAATATTGAGACAAAATGTTAAATATATCAAAAGCATTTTTAAAAGCAAAGACGTAAAAACGAATAAAGGTAAGAAAAAAAATTAACAAAGTTCCTCATAGTTCTAGCGTACATAGCAAATTAGTTTCTTAATTATACCTGCTAATAAAAATTGTAAATAAATTGCATATCAATACTTTCAATTGTTGTTAAATTGTTATAAAACATACTATATTTTTTTTGTCAACTTGAATCAAATTTGGTAGCTAAAAATAACAACCTTCCTAAAAAAAGAATACAAAAGTTTTATAAATTTTTTTTTTTTAATTTTCTTTTTTAAATTAAATTTTTCTAGTTTATTTATTCAAAGTTTGATATTTTGTTACAATTTTCTTTTCTTTTTTTTAAAATTGTTTTTTTTTTTTCTCAGTAGATAAGTTTAGTGTTTTGCCACCAGTTATTGAAATGCCTAAAAAATTAAAAGATGCAAACTGACATGGTTAGTGTGTCTAAAAAAATTACTTCAAATGTGGATAAACATAGCGTGCAACTGCACATGCTTCCCGAGCTTGGATATGCATTTGTGAATTGTTTAATTGTTATATATTCAGAACATTTAAAAAAACTTTTTTTCCATTAGGTTGTGCGTTTAGCAAGCTCTACATTTAATTATAATACATATGACAGAGCAAAAGCCCGTTCTAAGAGATTTGCAACAGAACGTTTTCCAGATACTATTGGAAAGCATGTTCGAGCAGGGTTACCACCAAAAGTGAGAAATATTTTTTATTTTATGGCAATATATTTTTATTTTATTTTAACTTTTAGCTTTTTGTTGTTGTTTTCAGTTCAAGGGAAAATGCATATTTCCACAAGTGGAAACAGTTCAAGAAAATGTTTTTAGGAAAAAAATAGATCACAAAATCAAAGAAGCATTAGTTCTATATGTTAATTTTTAATAATGAATTCATGTTAAAAGTAAATGTGTGCGTTTTTTTAAATTGAGTTGTTTTTGAAATTTCAAGCATTTGCTCAAGTTTTTTGTTTTTATTTTAATTTTTAGATAGGTTCATTTCAATTGTTTGTTGAGGGTTACAAAGATGCTGAATTCTATTTACGAAAATTTGAAACTCAACCACTGACTCCTGAAACATTAAAAGACTTTCAACTATCTTTTGAGAAACTTGTTTGTTTAGATTATATTATTCGAAATACTGGTCAGTTATTTCAACATTATGGTTTATTTATTTCTAGGTATCAAAGCTTTTTAACAACTGTTTAAGTTGTAAGCAAGGTTTTTGCCAGTTGTCTATTTTTATATGTAAAAACAACAATGTATCAAACCTTATATTGTAGTTGAAACTTTTATGCTAAAAAAGTCTCTTTTAACAACATTTAAGCGACTTCAATAAATAAGCTTCATTTTAATGTTGTCTAAAACTTAAAACAATTAAGTAATGCAAAAGTACCTTATGTTTTATTGTTTTTAAAAAACCGCAATAATAATGACTAGAAAATTTTTTAAAATAAAAGTGTTTTTGTTTTTTTAAAACATATTTTTAAAACATGTGCGGTGTGTTGCTACATTGACTATCTTATAGCCTGCTGCTACAAGGAAGTGCTGCTACATTGGCTATCTTAAAGCCTGCCACTACATTAACTGAGGGTTTGGTTTGGCCAAACAATATATATTATTAAAAAAAAAAAAATTATAAAAAAAAAAAAAAAAAACTTTTTCTGGTCTGGCTTATGAGCGTTCTTTTAAAAGAAATTTTTCAACTATCATGCCAGACCAAATAATAATTTAAAATATTTAAAAGTTCATTAATTAAGCTACTTAATTTAACTATAATTTCTTATATGGTAATCTCTTAATTCATATTTTAATTTCAGATTTAAATAGGACAATAACACTGATATTTACTGAATTTTTTTTTATTTTGGTATGCTTAAAAGTTAACATGTTTGGAAATCCTGTAGAAAAACTTCTTAGATAACTTTATCTTCCTCTATTTTATCTTAATTGGTTTAAGTGTTATGTATTGACACAACATCGTTTATTTACATTTATTATTTAATTAAATTTAATATGTGATAAATAAATAAATATATATATATATATATATATATATATATATATATATATATATATATATATATATATATATATATATATATATAATATATTTGATAGATATAGTTGATGATAGCTCATTTGAGAAGGAACCATGATATGTAGAAAAGAGAAAGAGATTTATAAGAAACTTTACGGTGATTTGTAAGAGGCTCAAGCTTAGCAGATAGAGAGTGTCCAACTATGTTTACAATGCAATTTTTGGACCTTGTCTAGAAAAGAAAGAGCATCATTAAAAGATTATATGCCTGCACTTGGATACCATTTCACTTTTTTTGTTTAGTAGATTTTTATTTTTGGAAAATAGAATTTCATATTTTTCGTATGTGCATAGTTTGCAGGACTTCGTGGTTGGGTTGTAAGCATTGCACTGCTTAATTATTTTCCATTTAACAACTGGGTTTAAGTTGGCATCTTTTAATTTCCAAAATTCTTTTGACAGTTCAGTGTCATTTTTGTATTTTAGAATGTTATGATTTTATATGGTTGGCATACCTAATTTTGAATGGTGTTACACTTATACCGATGTAGGATTTGTTGTTAGGAGTGTTAGTAGGATTATAACTTATATTGGCTTCTGTGTTAGTAGGATTATTAACTTATATTGGCTTGGTATACAATGTTTATTGTTAAGCATTGGTTTGATAAAGGGCAGGTATTTTTATTAATGCAATTGCAGTTGTTTTTAGGTGGAATTTTGTTGTTGTTCATAATTTGTTGATTGTGTTTATTTAAAAAAGATTTCATATTTGGCATACAGCTATAACTTATTTTTATTGTGTTTTTGTTAAAAATTTTGTGGAGTCTGTGATATTTTGGGAAGTGTTTGTTGGTTAAGGTTAAAAAGCTTTTTCCTATATTAGTGCTAACATTTTTGCTGAAAGGAGGGTTGAACCATATGATGTTTCGTTTACAGTTTTTGATATGTGGTAAATTTAAATTAGGGTGATATGAAAGTTTGTGGTTAAAACCGGATCTTAATAGTGCGTCATTGTACATAGGAGTAGATCTTTGGAAGATTTCTTTGCTTGATGAATTTGCAGACAATCTTAACTCAATTGAATGCGGAAGCTGTTTTAAAATATTAGGCGGGTGGTTTGAATCAGCATGAATATAGTTAAAAGAATTACCTAGCTTCGAATATGGTTGAAAAGTATTGTCGTTGAGATTTAATGTGACGTCAAAATAATTTATAATTTTCATGTTGCACTGTATTGATATAGTGAGTTCGTTTTTTTTTAATATTTCAACAAAATGTTTTTTGATTTTTTCCATTTGGGAACCACTCATTTTTTTAAAAACTGCTAAGCCATCATCGCGGTACAATCCAAAATCATTTATATCATAAAACTGTGCAATTTGAAACAAAATATAAATTCCCACAAGATCACAAACTTCAGCACCATCAAATGCTCCCATTGAAACATTGAATAACTGCTTGATTTTTTAATCCAAACTTGATCATCGTTAAATAATAATGATTTTCTTGCATGGTATATTAATGTTTTATGGTTAGAGTCAATGTTTAGATACTGCTCAGCAAAATGAATAGCATTGTTAAGAAGTTTTTCAGATATCATAGGGTAAAAATCAACAATATCAAAAATAAGAAATTTATAAAGGCGTTTATTACTGATGCAATTAAACCAGTTTATGGTATCTTGGGTTTTTTTCCACTAATTGAGATGAATGAATTGAGATGATGTTTTATATATATATATGTATATATATATATAAATATTATTATTATTATTATTATTATTATTATTATTATTATTATAATATATATATATATATATATATATATATATATATATATATATATATATATATATATATATATATATATATGTATATTATTATTATTATATATTTATATTAATATATATATATATATATAAATATATATATATATATATATATATATATATATATATATATATATATATATATATCTTTTGTCTTCCTACTGACAAATGTGCTTCTTATGTAACTTCTTGGATTCAGGCTGGCATGGATTCTTTTATACTCTCTTGACGATTCCAAGTCAAGCCTCACTCTACTCTATGGTTTTCCTATCGTGCTGCTGTAATTTCCAATCGTAATCATTTTCATATCTATCAGCAAAACAATTCTCCAGAAAACAGTTTACTATTGCTAGAAACCATTGCAAAAAGGTTTTGTCTAACACCAAAGCCCGCTATTCTCAGGTCAGAAATTCTTGTATTTTATCTCAAAAATTAGGATCTCGTGACTTCTCCAACAATTTATTATAAGAATAAGCCTGTTATTTCACCTCTCTCGTATGCTTCAGATTTTGTCACCACAAGACAAAGCTGAATTGTTTGATAAGAACTTCTCATCAATATCTGATATAGCTGACAAACTGGTTGATCCATTGCTTGACCTTTGAATCACTTCAGCTTCTGTATCTAAAAGCTGAGACTCTTCTACAGCTTGTGGTCCAGATAACTTACTTGTTATATTCTTGTGGAAGTGTTCTCTGTTGCTTTTGTCTATACTTTCAAAATTATTGACTGAAAAACTTTTTTTTCAATTTTTTTAGCTAGTTTTTATTGCAATAATCTTCCTTTATTTATGAAAGGTAATGTACTCAATGAGTCATTATTCATTCCCTTCATCTTGTTTTGCTGATTCATATAATTTGCAATCTTTCAAGTTTTCTGTTAATGTTATCTTGCTCTTTAAACTTCATCTTTTCACTTTCAGTATCTTCCAATTCTAATAGTGTTTGCTTGCAGCCTTGTTGGAAGTAAAGATGTTGAAAAATAAATATATATATATATATATAATATATATATATATATATATATATATAATATATATATATACATAATATATATATATATATATATATATATATATATATATATATATATATATATATATATATATATATATATATATATATATATATATATATATATTTACATGTATGTATATATATATATATATATATATATATATATATATATATATATATATATATATATATATATATATATATATATATATATATATATATATATATATATATATATATATATATATATATATATATAAATAGATTAACTTCATACTCAAGTACTCAAATAAAAGTAAATTTTATATAAACCAAAAAAATAAAATTGTAAAAAAAGATGTCAAAAAACTTTTAAAAGTTCATGTCTTTTATTTTTGATATTTTTTCTGCAATAAATTCTAAAAAAAGATTATCAAAAAAGATAACCACAGCACATTAAAAACACTGAATTGTGATCTAAAGCGGAGACACCACACCTTTCACTAAGTAATATATTTATGAATATCTATATATTCATAAATATATATATACTTAGTGAAAGGTACCTTTAAATTATTGAATGATTTCTTCTTGTTGGTAATCAATTATGATTAAGCTCATCGATATGATTTAGCGCTCTCTCTTCTGTAGGAGGCAGAAATAAAACCTGCCCATTTATTTAAACCTTTAATTCAAATTAACAAAATAGAAAAAGTTAAATGTTCCTTTTGTCTCTTTGTTGTTCATAGTCAAATATGAAAATTGACTATGAACAATAAAGCATGTTGAAAAAATGTTGCTGGTGTCCTGAATTAGTACTACACAAAAATGCCTAGATGTAAAAAAAAAAAACGCAGACAAAAAATAAATTATAAATAATTACATTACAAATCATCAGATGAAGGTGGTCTTGGAAACTCCGTAAATGATAAAAATTAAAAATTTATAAATTTTTTTTAAAAAATTAAATACAATATAGGACTTTTTTTTATAAGGGCCTACTAGCGACATATATTTTTTTGACAAATAAATCAAACAATGTAAGCCTAAATTACTAATTAAGACTATATTAAATGTATACTACATTTATATATATATATATATATATATATATATATATATATATATATATATATATACATATATATATATATATATATATATATATATATATATATATATATATATATATATATATATATATATATATATATATATATATATATATATATATATATATATATTATACATATGTATACATAATATATGTATACATAATA